GACATCAACTGAAAATCATTGGCCTTCTATAATACTCACATTCTTCTGGAATGGCGCAATAAATAAATCTTGAGATATGAAAAAAATAGAGTTCTAGATCTTTACTCTCAAATCAAAATGCGCCTCTCGAAATATCCTTTCCGGCACTTCCGCTGTAATGGACGGCTACGCAGATTTGTTTCCTTTCTCAGTGGAATAATCACAAAGGCCAAAGAAGGAAGGGAACATTTTGTCAAATATATTTTTCTAAATTCAGGAAAAGAATAAATAAAAAATATGGCTCCGTCATGGAGATCTATCTATCTTTTTGCAGGTCCTTGCCAACTTTCAGCTCTGTAGCTGTCGTAGTTTTATGGGAAAAGTGACAAATGTGTTTCCAAGTTGCCAGTAATATAATAGACAAGCTGGGGCCTCTTTCGATGAAAGGAATGATCGGTGCATTAACGTCCACTGAAAGTCATTGGCCTACTTATTTACACTCTACTGCTGGAATGGAGCAATAAATCTGGAGAGAAAAGTGACACTTGTGTTTCCAAGTTGCCAAATATATAATAGACAAAGGAGTCCAGAAAAGTGATGGTGGGCATCAAACGAAGGATCACTGTCGAATTTAGCACCAAGAAAGAAAAAAAAAGAGACTAGATCTGACTGGTCGCACACTTAAAATAGTGCTCAGTATTGCGCGACAATGCACGATAGTATCGAACGGAAGTACGATTTGAAATAAACAAACCTGGCAGGTTTTCTAAAATTTCAGAGACACAAGCGTCGGCCTACAAAAACGATCGGCGAAATAAAGAAATTTAGCTTTTGCAGCAAAACTGTCTCAAAACTGAAAAATCCAAGGGCGTCATGATCTGGAGAATATTTTAAAGAATCTTTTGGCGAAAACCGCATGTCGATCGATGCAGCCATTAAAAAGCCTTTTGAATAGCAAAATTCGGCCACCACAAATAGATCATAGATTACAGTGAAGATTCATTTCTCTGAAATGATGGCGTTCTTCGAGAATGCGCACCATGAGAGCCGCACGATGCGAAAAGAGTTGAAGAAGGATTTTATAAAAACGGGTTGCCTCTTTCACTTTTATGACAGCCAAGCGAAAATTTGCTTTAGCGATTAGTAGCTGGATTGTTAGGGGTTCTTTTCTTTCTTTTTGTTTTCTGTTGATTTTTGCTGGGGGGGTTTTGGGGTGACCT